GGCTAGGCATTTACCCATGAGGTAACAAGTATTTGATTTGGATACTATAGTCTTTCTCTTTCTTGTCTCTTAATTATGCACTACTTTTTTTGAAGTTATTTCCTCATGAAAGTCTTAGCGCAAGTGTATGTTTTATCTTGATGCAGCCGATAGAAAAAACTATTTAGAGAGTGCAGGTTTGGGGGTTCTGGACTACTTCTCATCCTGCCCCATAACAGATTGGAATAACTGCGCTTTATTAATTTTAATATGTTTCATAGCACTTAACACACTCTTACTCATAGTAATTACTCAACAGGTAAGTATTAAATTGAACCTAGTCCACCTCAATAATTTGCTGATTTCATCTAGATGTAGTCATATAATGAAGGAAAACAAAATTAGTACAGATAGCTGGGAGTAGAACTTATATTTGATGTCACATATTGAAGTACAAGCAAAGTACAGTGTCTAGAAAAAAGCGAGCACCAAACATTCTTGTTTCATGTCTAAACTATTCATTGAAGCATTTAAATTTTGTATTGAGCTAGATTTAAATTCTGAATCCATCTTTCCTTAACTATATTATCTGAGTAAGTTATTTCACTTTTCTGAGGCTCAATTCCTTCATCTTTCAGCTGGAATGGCAACAGTACTTTGTGACTATTAAGCAATGTATACATATAAAATAGCTAACATAGCATTTAATAGCTAGCACTCAATAGATCTCTTTATTAATAGCATTATTAATCTCATCGCCATCATCATTTACAATCTAAATTAATTCAGGATTAATTTGTTTGCAAGGATGCATTCTCCTTAAAAATTCTGACAGGTGGTTTAACTGAAATTTTTTAACCAAAAAGAAAAAAAAAAACCCTGGAATTTAATAAACTTCCACAAATTAGGGAAGGACTTGACTCAAGTTGCATACCTTCTTTTTAAGAATGTGTGAATTTTGTGGGGGTGAGGTGTAAAAGCTGGAACTTGAAAAATAAATTAAAAATAGGTCTTTGAGAAATAAAAATCTGTGTCTTTTGGCATCACTAAAATGTAGAAAATACATCTGCAGTATTTGGAACCAGTAACCAGACTGAAAGCTATGTTACCTAAATCTTGGCTGAATTTAGTTTCCCTAAAAGCCACCCACACCTTCAAACACTGTTTTCTAAATGCATGTGCCCAGAGTTTTGTTAACCCATATCTTAGTCATAATAAAAAAATTATTGAGCAATTAGTCAAATACTGGATCTTAGAATCTGCAAAGATCTTGGAGATAATATAGCTCAAACTCCTTGTTTTGAAGAAGAAAATACTGAAAGTCCATAGGAGTCTTAAATTGTCTAGTAATTGCTCCTGTGGCAAAGGAAATTTTCATTTCATCTTTTAGTGTTAACATAGAACCTTCTAAATAAGCACCTTTGGCACAATAACAAAATGGAAATGGAAGAAAATTCTTCATGGGCTTCACCACTTGGTGAGAAGAGAGATTCTCCATACTTCTTGGGGAAACCAATGTTCTTTCACTGACTTTTTGGGAGGTGAACAAATTTCCTTTGCAAGAACCACCCAAGAGATAACAATATCCCTTTCTTATGGGCCTTATACAGAGAGCTAAAAAATGTCAAAACAAAATATTAACATCCCACTCAAAACACAGGCTTTTCTGATTAACTTAAAAGAAGGTATTCCAGATACTAATTTTCACCTGAAAATGCTAACAGCACAAATGTGATAATTTAGATACATTTACAAATTGTTTGAAAGTAAATGCATAATCTTGGGGGGGGGAGTCAATTGTACCATTGTCTTTTGTTCTACTTGTTAAATTCATTTTTTCCCATTTTGCTTTCTTTTTGCAATGATACAGCTCTATTACTTCAGATATATCAAACAGAGGCAAGTGAGAAGTTCTGAATTATAGGAGGTGGCTGAGAACAGTTTTCAAAATTAATTCCATGGGCTGATAATAAGCATTATCTGCAAAACAATGAAATATTTGGAGAACACTGTATTAGTTCAATTCACACAAGATTTTTTCTTAAAATACTAGTTAGAGGAATTACACAAATGTGCATTAAGAATCTTTTATGAGAATTTTGTAGATTTTTAATGTTTAGCCCTTTCCTAACTTATTTGATTTTTTCCCTACAAATCCTGTTTAGTAATCTGTAAGTAACCACAAAATAGTTTGACTTTTAACTTGAAAAGTCCTAAACTGGCCAATGTGCTACAAGAGAGAAAATAAGAGTCACTTATTCCTTGAGTAGATTTTTCTTCTCGACTTCCCAAGAGCTATTCCCCACACAGGTAAAATCAGGACCAAATGCCACATTATATGGAAATGTCATACTATATGGAAATACATGTTTCCTTTAGCACAGAGATACAGAGCAGAAGGTAGAGGTGGCAGAGTTGATGGGGAATAGGAACTCTTTTCATGCCCAATATATAACTGTTAGAAGTAGAGCTCTTTATCGAAGATGTTGACAAAATGGAGAAAACTGGGGTCTAAGCCCTACCACCTCCCACCCTCACCCTGCCCCATGTTCTTCATACCTCTTCCCCCACCTTTAGTATGCCCTCATGGACTCCTCACATCTGGAGATTCTGTGGAATAAATTTTAAAACAACACATGCTTTTGTGTATATAACTCTCTCCTATTTAATTATTTAAGAGAGATGATAAGTTGTTTCCTAGAGTAATTAATATTTGTAAAAGGTGCTGTTACTAAACAAAAAACTTTCTTGTTCCAATGAATACTTTGAAGAAATTAGCTGAGCATAGACTTAGAGCCATGATAGAGGTGAATAGTTTGGTGAATCTGGAAGAAAGTTTAAAGATTCCAAGGCAACATGTGGGGGAGGAAGAAAAGAGATGAGAAAAGATCAAGGAGAAGGAGGTGGGGGTGGAGAAGATTCTGTCAGAGGACTTGAAACATATGAAAAGTGGTATAAGTGCCATCAGAAGACAATATTCTAGACCAGAAGATTTATAACTGCAGGTAAGTCTAAAATCATCAACAGAATTATGATTATAAAATGTCCCCTGTCTTTTCAGATTATAAGTAAGACATTGATTTAAAAAATCAGTGAAACTGACTAAGAAGAAAGTTTTGCATTTCAGTTTATGGAGAGTGGAACATGGATAGGTCACACAGGACAACCATATGTAAGATGACACAATGCAAAAACAACAATAGCTCATACCATAGGAGTACAAGAAATCTAGATCTTAGCAGAAATCCTAGGGAAGGCCTTGTGTTTGCATAGGGAGCACACTGAGGAGTTGGGAATCTCTAGCTTAAGGAGCAGAGAGCTCTCAGCTAACATCTAAGAAACAGAAGGAAGTTAATGATGTTGCTTGGAGAAACCTTTCCATGTCTATGACCTGTGGCTTTCACTGACCAAAATACCAACCATCCCCAAATGATTTGGTCTGTATTGCCAATGAGTTGACCACCTCCACTTGCATGCCTCACTACCACTTTAAATTTACCACATCCTATTGTATCTTCCACGCTTCTTCCCTGAGTCCCTGTCCTTGTCTCTTGACTCTGTGATGCCTTCATCACCCATTCTTCTTCTCAGGAAAAGACTTTATCCTTAATTCTTTTCTCCCATTCACATTATAAAAATCATCCTCATTTTCACTATGACATATGTCTCCTTCTATGTTTTTTCACTTCCTCAGTTTAGCCAATATTGGCTTGCTAAAATAGCTCCAAGCACCTCTGAAACACTCTCTCTCCACTCCATCTATCCTCATGCTGAGCCAATTACTTTATTTACAGTACATATCTGAGTAAGTCACTCTATTGCCAAGTGTCATATTCTAGCATTCCAGGATCACAAGATGAAGTTTTCTGGCTAACAGCTTTCTTGGAGGTGTGTTCCTGCTCCACTACAAGCCTCCTTGTCCTACCATTCCCCACCAAATATGTCATGCTATAAAGCTACCCATGTTTATGTCCCCTCCAGATCTCCTTCTCCTTTTCTTGTCTTTATTGACAAAGACCTTGAGTAGAGGCTAAAGATATGCTGTCCCCATACTGTAATTTAAAATATTAATTGAAATTAGGTTAAAAAGTCTGATTGGTGTTGTTTTAAATGTTTGCATTTTTAAATACTTTAACACCAAAGAATCAATAACATGTACAGTTCTACACAACATCCCGAGGGGAAACAGTCACAAAGACCTTTGGTGACTTGTCAAATTACACCTTGTAGGTAAATCCACTCTTCAGTTATGGGTGGACTCACCCAATGGAATGCCCATTCTCTGGAGACTGACTCTGCATGGTATAATGTAAAGGAAAATGGGATTATTGCTTTGTTTCATCACTCATTGTCCAAGTGGTCTTAGACAAAATATTTCACTTCTCTCAGCCCCAGTTATTAGCTGTTAAACAACATCTAGTTCTCAGAGTATGCAAAAAGTCTCTGTAAATGGCAGGAAAAAAGGCTTTGTAATCTATGAAGTGTTATACAAATGTGGAAAGAAGTGTTATGAAAAGAAAATTGGACATGAAGGCAAAATACAGGATACTATGGGTTGATCTGTGACCTACAGAAATATATATTGAAGCCCTAATTCTCTATAACTATATCCTTATTTAGAAATTGGACATTTGTAGGTATGATTGGGCCCTAATCCAATGTGTCTGGGGTCCTTAAGTGAAAAGATGATGGAGACACACAGGGAGAATTTGTGTGAACACGGAGGCAGAAGTAGGGTGGTACGATCTCTAACTATCACCAGAAACAAGGGACTCACAGGCATGGGAAAGATTCTCCCTCAAAACCCTCAAAAATAATCAATCCAGTTGACAGCTTGATTCAGACTTGTAGCCTCCGGGACTGAGAGATAATAAATTTGTTTTAAACTCTCCAATTTGTAATTCTTTGTTATGGCAGCCCTAGGAAATAGCAACCATCAAAATAAATTTTAATTTCATCACTAACTAGTTCTATGAATTTGAGTTAATGACCTAAACTTTCCCCTGATATCTTCCACTTACCTCTCTGTGATGGTTTCTCTGAGGCCACTGGCCACCCCTTTGACCACAGTGCTAGCTTTGGGGGTCAGCACCACCTGAGATATAAAAAACGAGCCCTTCTTTCTTCTCTCGGTGATAGACGCCTGAAGAAACTGGATCAGTTTTTCCGGGTCTGTGGTGTTGGCCCATGGTGCTGGCATCATCTGCCCGGGCCAGAGAAAGGGCACTTCCAGAGCCACTGGACTGTGATAGAAGACCAGGACTTGGTAGTCCTTCTCCCAAAGGTACTTTAGACTAACTTCCTGGGCAAAAATCGCTGGGCACATTTTATTTCCATAGATATCTTTTAGCATCTGAACCAGTTTTTCATGGTGGTATTTCTGCATCCCATAAAAGTGGTTAAAGTCCAAGAATACAACCTCCTTACGGTGATCTGTGAGAAACGCATTGATCTCCTCAAGGCCTTCATTGACCTTGGCACTGAACAAACCATGAGCAAAGTAGAGTTCGTTGTCGGGGTCTCTGGGTTTAGTGGAAATGCGAAGATCAAAATAACGAATCCCGGCTCCTAGCTGACCAGTAAAGTTCATCGTTTGAGTGGCTAGCCATTTCCGCATCAGCTTTTTGGCCACAGTTCCAAACACAGAGACAAAATTCTGGACAGTTTCTGGCTGTTCAGGCCCAACTGGAGAGGCTTCGTCAATGTAGAAGCTGAAGGAATCATGAGACCCTAGGAGAATAACAGGATATAATGTAACTATATTCCATTCCTTTGTCTGCCCCAGCTACTTCCACTATTCACATTTCTCCCTCAAAGGAAATACAAGGCAACATTTACATTGTTCATTCTCATGTCTTGGGAAGGAACTTCTTATAACCTACTAAGAATACACAGAGCACCTGAACAGATCAAGTTAATGATAAAATAAGAAAAATCCCCTCTGAGCAATATTTGAGAATTTGAACACTCATCTGTTTTGCATGGTCAAAAATTTAATGCAGTCATTAGGATTGGATTTCTCCAGGTGGCATAACTGATCATTCATGAACTAGGATTTCTGTGGACTTGCCAGTTTCTAAGTATTAATACTTTGTCTACAACTTGCCTTTTCATTATTTTGGGCTGGTTTTAAACTCGGTGAGTTGTCCCCCCCCCCTTTTAAAGATTTATTTATTTATGCATACAGAATTAGGGTACAGGCCAGAGGAATGGGGATAGTGAGAGGATACACCAAAGACAGAGTGAGGAGCAGAACAGGCAGACTGATGAAGTACACAGCTGAGGGGAGCAGTGGGCAAGACAGGAGAGGTCTGCTGCACCATGTGGGTCACCTCCCTGGCCAGGGTTGAACTCGTGCTAAAGCGACTAAAGCTAGCTTCCTAGTGCTGTGCTTTAACCCCTTATGCCACTGGGGAGGGCGGGTGCTTGGTGAGTTTATTTTCAATGAATAAAGAAACCCTTTCTCACATGATTGGTATAGTAATTGTTACTTCCTACATTTTGGAAAGCACTAAAGGTCACAGGGACAAAAGAAGGCAGATATAAGGAAGAGGACAGTCTATGCGGATACACTTAGCATTCTTCCTGAGAACTCAGTGAGGACAAGTACTTTTGACATTTTAAATAAACATTTTTTTCTGACAAGCTAACAAAAACGAAAGCATTTAAAACTTAACTAATAAACTATTTTCCTCTCCAACAATGAAAGCTCTCTTTGGAATTGGTTTCCCTACTTAGCAGAATTTTGTCCTGGGAAGAACAAGGAAAGTCTATTTCATTATTTTATTTTTGGCAGCTACAAATATCAAAACTCCGGAAATGGAGCAATGAACATGTGTATGATTTGCCTCTAAGTACAGAGAGCCATTTAAACTATTATTGATGCAAACAAAGGAAAATTATTTCAAGCTCTAACTCTATCTTTTAAAGATTTCTTTAACTCTTGTGCACATCTTATTGAATAGAGAAAATTAAATTTATATATCCTGGATTTTTCACACATTAGAAAGGGCAGATGACATCATTTCCCATCTGTGACTCAGGCTTTCTTACACCTTTTTACCCCCAATTTAGTTCTCTTGCAGCATATTCTTATCTAGTTCTTTCACTCTGACAATCCAAAACATACCCAGATACACCCGAACACACACACAACTTGATGTTAATCACCCATCACCTTAGGGTCTATGATAAGTTATTTGAAGCAATGCTTTTTCAGTGACAAAGTATTTATATTATATTCCATTTCTATGTCAACCTATCTTTACATCATTTTCATATATTAGTAGCTTCTGTGTTTGTTTATGTGTGTGTGTGTGTATATATATATATATATGTATGTATGTATGTATGTATGTATTAAACTCCCATAGAAATCACAAGAGTAAAGACTTCAGTCACTATGGTAGATTGTCAGAGGAAATATATTTTGATGCCTTGCAAATCATAACCTTTAAGATTTGGAACAGACAGTTCCTTGGAAATATTAGATTTTTTTTTTCAAACAATGAAAGGTAACCCCAAATACAGAAATGCTATGTTTAATTTCATCTGGAACTGTCTGATCTATTTAGCTACTAAATGATACGGGAAGAAAATGTCAGCATCTTCTCAATAAGAAAATTGGCAGTTGAATCTGGCATTGGAAATCTTTAATAGGGATTTAAATTGCTATATGGTGATGTATTAGGTATTGTTCAGTCAGCTGCTAATATAAATGATGAAGCTAAGCTATTTAAAATACAGAGTATATGTTTAAAGAAAGGGAAAATACGATGACCTTAAGAAGAACTATAATTAAATGATCTAGGATTAAAATAAATATAAATAAATGAACACTCAAAGTAAGAGTCAAAAGAAAACTAAAATATTAAGTTCCAGGCATCTGAAAAGTAGATGAAAGTAATCAATTATTTCTGTCATCTAGTAGAAAATATAATTGAAAATAAATATAAAAGGAATTTGATAGATTCAATTCCTCTTCCAGAAAAGAGTGGTTCTTTATTTTCCATGACTTTTTTTTGTTCCATTCTATAATGTGTTTCTATAGCAAATATTACTTGAAACCTCAGAAAGTTAGTGTTGAAAATCCTGTAGAGGATATTAGTTTCTAGATTAAATTATTTGTTGACAGTCAAAAAAAAAAAAACTAGTAAGTATGATCCAAAAAAGGGAAAGTTAGAAATAAAAACAAGTCAGAAGGAACCATGGGTGACCCCATGAGTATTCACCCTGATCTGGGTGCCTCTGGGTGAGTGCAAGTTATCTGGTGCAGAGTGCACTTTAGATGCTTCATGCTATCAGTATTACCTGCAGCGATTAAATCATCATCATTTGAAACAAAACTCTACCCATGCATTTGGAAGAATACATAATCTCACGTTGACCAAAAAAAGAATATTTTCGTAATTTGTTTTCAACAAATCTACTTGGAATAGTACTTCCTCTCCAGTTTCAACATTTTCCTTATCCCATCAAGTTTTATATTTATTTTGACTTAAAACAAAAATACAGCAATACTTTCAAAAACTGAGAGGGGAGCCCTCCCTGGTGGTGCAAGGGGTTAGGACGCAGCACTGCAAGCTAGCTGCAGCCTCCTCAGTGCGAATTCAATCCCTGGCCCCGAAGGTGATCTACATGGCCCGGCAGACCTCTCCTGACCCGTCCGCTGCTCCCCTCAGCAGTGTACTTCATCTATCTGCCTGATCTGCTCCCCACTCTGTCTCTGGTGAAACCTCTCACCGCCCCTGCACCACTGGCTTGTACCCCAGTACTGTATGAATAAATAAACAAATCTTAAAATATATAGATTAAAAGAGAGAGAGAGAGAAGGAAAAAACAGAGAAAAGCCTGGCCCAATTCTGGGTCCTTGAAATCCAGGAGACCTGCCAAAGAGCAAGAAGCATTATTTCTTTCTAGCTACATCTACAGCCTTTTTCCCTTATTGTTCTGAATTTGGTTTCCACATTGATTCAGTATTCCTGATCTCCTGATCTCTTGTTTGTTTTTGTCTCCATCCTCAGACTCATAACCTGAACCTGATAGTTAATGTTGCTCCTTTGATTCTGAAATTAGCTTCTCAATTTAGCCTCTGATTTTCCATCTCTACAAAGACAAGAACAGGCCACGCCCACTATAAACCTATATAGTCAAGCCTGTTTGCTTTGGATCTGAATAAGTGAATGGAATAGAAAGGCCTTTTCTTAAAATGTGTTGGAAACAGGCACTTTTTAAGTTTCCCCTCTGTAAGTCATTCCCTCATTCCTGCAATAGGCACACTTTTACGATAGCTAATAACAATCCTGCCTTTCTGGCACTCATATCCTTCCCCTGAGTGTGAGTGACATGTTTCTAATTACAAATAATTAAGAACAAAAACCATGATAGGAGAACACTTCCAAAATGAAGTTACAAGAGATAGTGACTTCACCTTTGCTGATGTGACGATGTGAACTGCTCTGCTGGGGAGGCCAGGGTGACAAAGACCTAGGAGTAGCTTCCAGCCAACAACCCTCAAGAACTGATTCTGTCACCAACCCCTCAGTAAGCTTGAAAGCAGCGCCTAGCTCTGTGGAGTCTGGATTGCAGCCTTCAGAGACCCTGAAGCTGAGGATCATTAAGCCTTTTCTGGATTTCTAACCTATAGAAACTGGTGTCATTTTAAACAAGTAAGTTTTGAGGTAATTTGTTAAGAGAATAATTAACTAATGCAAGCTAATGCAACTGCCTCATTTAAGACCTTAGAATTTTAACTAATAGATTTAATTTTTTCATTTGTACCTCTCCATACTTGAAAACTATGTATCAGATGAAAGAATGAATGAATCATTCAGCCCAAAATGTCAGCAGTAATAAGGTTAAGAAGCATGATCTAGATAGAGCGATTGTAGAGTAGTTTCCAAAAGCAGAAGTCCAGCACACTCAATTGCATGCCCGCCTGTCTGGCACACATTTTTCTAGACCTGTAACTCATCTCTCACACATTTTTCACTGTGCCATTCTACCTTGAAGCTGTTCTGAGCAGCAACTGAAAGCCATCGTACATGAGACATCACTTTCTGGATTGTTTTGAAACCCAATACTTTATGTGATTTTTGCCACTTATTTCTGCTAGTCTCTTCAATTTTACTTCAAAATTTCAATTGTTTTGATAAGTTCTCAATATAGTAATTCTTTCAGGCTAACATTAAGCCATGCACATAGGCACCTTTTATTCATTGATCTGCATCTCCACACGGAAGCTTCTGTGTGGTTCAAGTTTTGTAAGGTTGCAATTGTCTAGCTCTTTTAAATGTATTAAGTAAATCCAGCACCTATTGTGTGCAAGACACCAGGCTAGGAATTCTGTTTGTATCTGACAAGAGGTGGAATCTTCGGAGATTAAAATAACAGCACTCACCAAGGAAGGGAAGGAAAGGTGATTCTTTCTATCAATATTTCTTAGGAATTTGGTAGATATTTATTATGTATCAATTTTGTGTCAAGCATTCTACCAAAATATGAAGATAAAACAGTATGCAAGATCCTCTAGGTTCTGTACATGTAGGATTCATATCATTGCAGAGAGAAGCAGGCAAGAAAAACCACCATTATCATAGTGCAACAAATGCTGTGATATGTGATATGTTGGATAAAAATAGCAATTCAGTATGAGCTGAAAAGGATGCATTACAGTAATTGATAAGCAAAGCAAAATGGTAAGAAAACTACAAATAGTTACAGTCCTTAAG